AGACCCTTGCAGTGGTGGCTCAAGACCATAGGGTTCTCCCCGTGGGGCAACCCACTTCGCATGATTGAGGTCACGCAGCGATGCTTACGTGCCTCAGACATGTGGAGGAAACCTTGGTTCCTGTCACAAGGCTCAGTGCTGGAGACTCCTTGTCGTCGCGTACGCTAACGACGGATTCCTCCCTGATGGGTTGGGGAGCGTTCATGAGTGACCGCTCCACCCAGGGTCTATGGGGAGGTCACCATCTCACGTGGCACATGAATTGCCTGAAGATTCTGGCCGTGTTTCAAGCTCTGAAACACTTTCTCCCGGACCTGAGAGGCCATCATGTGCTGGTTCACACAGACAGTCAATATGGAAGCAGACATCCTGTCAAGGCAGGGGCCGAGGCTCGGGGAATGGAGGCTCCACCCTGAGGTGGTAGAGCAGATTTGGAAAAAGTTCGAAAGAGCAAGCCCAGGTGGACTTGTTTGCATCTCGAGAGACCTTACTTTGTCCCCTCTGGTTCTCCCTCTCACATCCAGCTCCTCTCGGACTGGATGCTATGGTATGGTATGGCCAAGGCTGCGTCTGTACGCATTTCTCCCGATTGCTCTGCTCCCGGGAGTTCTGGAGAGTGTTCGCCGTTATGAGGTGCGTCTCCTAAGTTAGTTGCTCCGTACTGGCCTGGCCAGCCATGGTTTGTGAAAAGCGGGATCTCCTCTCTCAGGCGGGGGACACCATCTTTCACCCCCATCAGGAGTTGTGGAAACTGTGGGTGTGGCCCCTGAGGGGGCACAACTCGTAGCTTCCAGTCTCTCAACTAAGGTTGTTGAGACCATACTCCAATCCAGAGCTCCCTCCACGAGGAAACTGTACTCCTTGAAGTGGGTTGTGTTCACTTCATGGTGCGGATATCGTCAGCTGCTCCCAGTTAACTGCCCGGTTGGTTCAGTTCTGGAGTTCCTGCAGGAACGATTCTTCACAGGTTTGACCCCCTCCACCTTTAGAGTGTTCATGGTGGCCATAGCTGCTTACCACATCCCTTTGGGTGGTCATTCACTGGGGGCGAAACCCGTTGGTACATGCTTCTTTCGTTGTGCTTGAGACCAGGAAAAGTATGGTTCACTCCAGACTTTCAGGTGCATCTGTCTTAGCGGTGCTCGCCATGATTTCACACTAGACAGGCATTTGTCAGTATGGTGGTGTGGGCATACTCGTTCCCAAAGCGTTTTCGACGCAGCTCGAGCTCCAGAAGGGGAACATCTCTAGGTTACGTATGTAACCCTGGTTCCCCGAGGGAACGAGACGCTGCGTCGCGTTGCCATACTTCCTGCATCCCTGTGAGCGACTTGCTTCAACTTATCAGAAGCTAACGCTGCTTGTTTCGGATGCACTTTTAAGCTCTCTGGTCTCTACATCACCCTGCCCGTGACGTTTCGCCATTCCATTGGACTGATTTCACATGTGATTTAGAGTGTGGGCACACAGGGGCGTTCCCATAGCGTTTTTGACGCAGCGTCTCGTTCCCTCGGGGAACCAGGGTTACATACGTAACCTAGAGACGTTCTCGCCAAAGGAACAGTTCACTTAAAAATGGAAAAATCTGTCAATTCTGTCAAATCATTTCATGACATTTCAAATGAGATATTAGACATCTATACAAGAAAATTAGAAGATCTGTACTGCCAAGCACCAAAAATGTGTCAATATGATGTTTGAACTAAACTCCAAATTTTCTGAGGTCATAAAAAGCTTTAGGTGAGAAACAAACCAAAGTTCAAACCCATTTTTTTTGAGAATTGCCATCATTGACTTTCATACGTCATGAGATTTAAAAGCTACAGCAAAAGGTAAGATTGTCACGACGACTTCAATTTTTGGTCTGTCCTTTTGTGTTGATAAAGGAATAATACAGGGACAAAACAACATTATAAATGAATGACTATGTTTTTAATTTTAGAGTAAGCTATTCCTATATATACATCAATATAAGTTTTGACTGTTTCAAAATATAATACTTTGATGCAACATCATTACCATTCATATACTTAAAAATAATGGGTTCAGTTCATCAAATGCATGTTCTGTTACACAGATTCAGATTTCCATCTCTCCTGCTTCCAAAGCATGGCTTGGGTTCTCCTGGGATACACTTGGCAAGTTCACTCCTAGATATTCCAAGAGGTTCTGAAGTTTGAATGGAGAGAGATGAGCATAACAGATGCTTTGACTCCCTCACTGAAGAATTTGGCGTGACTTCCGTTTGGTTGCAAGAAACAGAGGCCTTACACTCATATGGAAATAGAAGGCAGACCCATGTATGCATGATTTATCGACTTCCACGATTACTGTCATGCTTGGATAACATTACATGATGCCAGTTTTGGAAAATCTGTTTGAAATATTCAACAGGATGTTTTGTTTTGGCAGACAACCTCATGACAAATAAGTTCATGGTCTTTGATCCCTTGTGGCGATGAAGTATTTCCCTTTTTTGAAAAAAGTCCAACTGGATTTTGCAACGTTTAGCACTTTGTAAGCACTAAAGAGTCTTTCATCTGCAGTTATTATAAATTAGCCACTACTATCTCACCTTTACCACAGAAGGACTGAATTATCTCTCACTCAAAAGGCAAAATTGGTCAAAAAATGCCAGTCATTTCTCTTTTTAGTTAACGGAACACTAAACCAGGACCTAAATGTTTCTATCACTCTCCATGAAGCACACACAAGCACAAAATACACACCATGTGCACAAATAACAGACACCACAAAACAAAGTCATTACAAATCTCAACAGGCATTTAACAATATCTACATATTTAACAATTATAAATTAAAATTGTGCAAATTGCCCCACATAGTTATCAGCGAAAATCATTATCATTATCATCACGTGTTTGATGATCTAAAGAAAATATAAATGTGCATCATAATGCACACAAATGCCACAATATGGGGCATCAGCTGCTCATTGTCATTATAGGTGAAGTATGTAATTTATACGGCATTAGTGACACTAAACAGAATTGTACAAATTAATTTTCATAATGTTCCATTATGTTTCCAAATATTCAGACCAAGTTAATTTCAATAACTGAGAAAACCCATCTGTTAGCATTCTCATTCAACTTAAATGTAGTTGCTCTACATGTAAGGTCCTCAGTGAGGAAAGATGATTTTTTGCCTCTATAATGGTGTAGTCACAGCATCTGCCAGCAGGGATTAACTGCTAATATTAACCAGACAAACCTTAAAGGGTTAGTTCACCCAAAAATGAAAATTAGGCTGTGTTTTACTCACCCCCGAGGCATCCTAGGTGTACATGACTTTCTTCTTTCAGACGAATCCAGTCGGAGTTATATTAAAAATTGTCCTGGCTATTCCAAGCTCTATCATTGCAGTCAGCGGGTGTTGCAATGCTTCAGTCCAAAAGAAGTGAAATAAAAAGCGCAACGCCGACCTCATACGTCATCCGCCCCCAGAAGTGCTTCCATTTACAACAGTGAGCGCAAGCTAGATTAAATTGATTATTATGTTTTAAATATGTATATTTTTCTTACAAAAACGCTACAGGAGGCCTTTGTTCACCCCCCGGAGCCATGTGAGACACTTTGTTTTATGGATGGATGCTTTTTATTTCATAAGAAGAAAGTCATATACACCTAGGATGCCTCGGGGGTGAGTAAAAAGCTTAATTTTCACTTTTGGGTAAACTAACCCTTTAACACTACGGTTCAAACAAAAAGTCCCACCCCACACACTTTGTTAGGGTATACTCACACTAGGCGTTTTGAACTGTGCCCGAGAGCGTTTGACCCCCAAAGCCCGGTTCGTTTGACTAGTGTGAGCGTTCCGTGCCGCGCTCGGACGTGGTTCGTTTAGCCGTCCCTGGCCCGGTTGGAAGAGGTGGGCCAGGGCACGGTTCCGTTGGGCTCGGGCGCAGTATGCATGCAGTGTGAGCGCTAACCGCGCCAGAGCACGGAACAGATACTGTTTTGTGTGCGCTACTGTCATTACGACCGCAAACATATTCTGTTACTACTACTACTACACTACACTTCAATTAATTTAATTCAATCAAGTATATTTAGGTTTATAATGGCTATGGTTCTCACCTTACAGATGAACAGGAAATGTAGTTTGCAAGTAATGCTGCAAATTATTTAATTAACGTCAGCTGCCTCCGTAATAATTCTCTGATACATACAAGTGAAAATCAATGCACAACATAAATTATAAATGAATTATTATTAATTATTCGGCAGAATATTAGTGCAAGTGGTTTTCTCCGTTATCTCGTACATGACGTAAGCATGCTCCGGCCCGGAAAGTTTATTGCAAGTGTGAGTGCAGGCCAGTGGGGGAGTGGGGATAATCGCGCGCGGGCTCGGTTTAAGGCAACCCAGTCTAGTGTGAGTACACCCTTATTGTTATGGCTCAGCTGGGCCACTCAAACAAACAGATCTGGTGGCGCTAATGTTGTAGAAATTACACACTTCACCTCTACACTTCGCCGCAATCTCATTTCAGTGTCTTGCGGTTGCGTATTCTTTTATAGCATATCATATCTTGAACTGAACTTGACAAACATCCTCTGAGTGAGGAACCATTTTGATCGATGTCTTAGGTTGTAATTTGTTCTAAATTTTCTCTTCGCTTTCTGGCTCTCGTCCTTGCAGTTCCTCCTACACTTCCTGAACAACTTTCAAAGCTCTATGGCAAAGGATTTGAATGCCTATTGGGAGATGAGAAGTATGCGAGAGAAGAAGAGTTGCTAACTAATACTGACTCTTGAACATATCAACATGTCTGGTGGACAGTCATCTCCTCTGACCGCTGACACAAGGGAATCAGATCTGTCTCGCTACTCCATTAAGGCATTGACCCAGACCCTTTGAAGCTTTCACATATGGCTGTATTTTGCATGCTTGAGTATACCAAGCATATTTCCTTGAAGGGAGCAAATCATCGTGATTAATAGTGGCACATTCATCTAATATTTACTTGAAGTCCTGTTTGCTATACAGAACCTGCTTTAAGCAACTTTCACCTCTGAAGATTGGGTGACTGATTTGTACTTCACTTACTCTGCAAGGTGAATCTTTCTGTTTTTGTTTTAATATTGGGGTCTATGACCTACAGAAAAAGGCACATGGGTAATACCTGTCGAAACTTGATCAGTCTATATCTATACCTTAGCTTGGCAATTAATTTCTAACAAAGACAAAGATGGTTTTAATTAAACTACACAAAAACAGCTTTACGTGTTACATGTACCCAAAAGTGTCAATTGATTCCAAAATATATGCAAACAAAAATGCTGGTGTGTTGGTGTCACCACAAGGCTTCTTTGCTTACTTAACCAGCAGAATGTCCTTGACCAATCAGCTTCACCCATTTTTGGCTTTGCTGGTCCATCGGCACCATATTAGCATAAACCTGTATGGAAATTCAGGTCCAAGTTGGTCTTTTCATGTGGGGTTCCTTCGGTTCAAATGGAGCTTATGCACTCTGGAATGCATTACCCGGTTTAGTTAACTTTTTGACAAGTTCAGTTAAGTGTATCTCTTTCTTAATCTTCCATTCATCCAGAGGCATTGGTTGATGTTTGCTTTTGATGGTTCCTCTTGTACCCTGCAGTCCCAATGGGGTTTCTCTACTAAATCATCAACATCACAGACAGCAATATAAGACTAGAGGTAAGACTCTGTTCTTCATCATTGAGTTTGTTAGCATGTACATTTGTGCAAATCTTTAACATATATCCACCTTCTGCTCACCGCTGATCCTGTCTGACTGGGACAGTGTCAACTGAGCACCATGTAACGTGATGAACGGGTGTCCATCATGTGTCCATCAGAGAGGACAGTGCTCTCACAAACTCACACACAAACACGCACACATTCACACGCCTCTTGCTCCTTGCTTCAGGGCCCTCAGCCAGAAGAAGCGAGGGTGGTTGGGCTAAGGGTCTTCTTCTGCAAGACATCTGGAGCTCACAGGTTGCTCTTGGCATTGTCCCGTTGAACGCTACAACACTTTCCTCTGTCCACCATCACTATGTCCTCTGTTATCGAACTGCAGATGGAACTATCTTGTGGTGTGGAGGTGAACTGCAATCCAGTACCCATACCATTCTGGCTGTTGGACACCAGCATCTGCTTCTCTTCTGGACTGCCGAGCCGGGAGGTAGTGGTAGCGATATCAGGCAGCCGCGAGAGGTTGGAAGGAGGGACCATGATGCTGCCACTTTTCATCTGAAGGGACTGGCTGTAGGTGTGACGGTACTCCTCCTCTATGTCCCTCCCAAGCTTCCAACGTCTCCATTTCTTCAGAATCTCAGACTGAACCTGACCAATCAAGAAGATGCACAGAATGGTTAGGAAACAGATGTGTGAGGACGGGGCCATCTTTGTGAGATTTTGTACATTTAAAAAAAAAAATTGAACTTACCTCCTTGTTGACGAAGCAATATAAGATGGCTACCAGCAGCCCCTGTGAACATGTCAGAGCATGAATAAGCAATTAAAAAAGTTGCTGCTGAAATGTCCAGGGATGCATTTCCCCTAAAATGACGTACAACTTGTTGCTTAACTACCATAGTATGATGCATTGTTGAAGAAATTATGTAGCTAGTCATGACTGTTTCCCAAAACTGTATTAATTGTGTTGCTCATCAGACATCCATGTCATGCTAACAACAAACTAACCACACAACTTTGCAATGCTGTTTGTGAATGTTCGTTTGAACTACAGTTTTGGGAACAGTGGAACTTGTGATCATATCTGGCTAACAATGCTTTTGGGAAAAACACCACAGTATAGCTGATCACTGGTTTATGTTGTGTTTTGGATGCTGGTCCCAATAGGATGTTTGTTTTCCAACCAGGCTTTTTAACTGGCTGTGCTGGCAAGACTTTCTTGGTCAATCAACTTCACCAGAAGGTCAGACCACACAAAGTGATTTACCCAAGTAGGTCTTGTTCGTTGGTGAACATCTTTATTTGATCACAAAGTAATAACTAAACAGTTCTAACTCTGACCCTACTTTTAAATTCAACCAGCACTAACCATCATAATCTGCCCTGGATCTGCAATTCAAGCTGTTCTTTTCAGCAGGAAATACCATACAATTTCTGTAGCTCGACTAGTCCATGGGTTTGATTCCCAGGGAGCACAAATGTATATCATGACTGTCCTGTAAGTTTCTTTGCATAAACGTTAATTTTACTGCAAAAAGCTGAGCTAAACTCTATTTTTTTCCAGGTTGTTCATAGTCAAACATAAATAAAAACAAAGAGCTTTCAGAAATCGATAAAAGTAATAATCAGTTTATTTTGCGAATGAGCTAAACCTGATACTTTGAATGAGTTCATTTAGTGCAATCTGCAGTAAGATATTCAAAAGCCAATAAGGATGAAGTGTTGACAGATGGAAACATAAGTCAAGCCTTATGGCCTCACTTGTTCTCTCCCTTACTCTGAATCTTTACGCATGTGAAAAATCTCATCAGGGCAATTCCTCCAGGCAGATGATACAAATTCGACACATTGCAGCTGCGCTCCACTCGACTGTCATTACCAGTTTGTAAAGGGTGAGTCAGCCAATTTGTAGCATCTGCGTACTTAAAGCAATTAGTTCTGACGCTGCAAAATAAGCTACAGAATGTCAATAAATTTTTTTTCAAAGCTGCTGCCCAATCAACGGACATTTAAAATGCATTGCTAATTTGCAGCATATGGGGCTTTTAAGGAGATTTTGGCAGGGTGAGGTGATTCCTCTGTTTATCCACGACTGAGTGGCATATCGAGAACATAACAATTTTTAATTTGTTATTATACCTGAGCTTGTTCTGAGCAATTTTGAGCTTGTTATGCATCTGTCAGCGAGGGTCAGAGTTGTGCGGCATTCAAAATTGAATTCACTTGAGAGTGCCTTTTAGATTCCAATTCAGTTTCTGAAAATGGTTTAGACTAATTAACTGAAATTTAGTAAATTCCTTGTCCCATCATTCCACTAAAACTTCACTAATTGAAAGGTAAACAAATCTAAAATTCAGAGTTTTGCCAACCCTGGTTAGAGTGATGGGTTATTAAGACTTCCTGACCTGGAAGGAGTTGAAGAATAGGTCGATAAATAGCTTTGTGAGGCGCAGGGATAGAGCACCATGTGAGGTAGACTCATCAGTAACAAATGAAAACAGGACCGAATGGATCCCCAGTAACGGAATCAGGGTGAGGGTTGACTTAGCAAGCCTGAAATTGGAAGAAAAACACAAAGATAGACAGTTAATCTAGAAACAAATGCACAACATTGTGTAAATGCTCAAAGTTCACCCAAAAATACAAATTCGGTCACACTTTATAGTTTGGGGACCAATTCTGACTATTAACTAACTATTAACTATGACTTTTGCCTCATTAAACTCCTAATTTGCTGCTTATTAATAGTTAGTAAGGTAGTTGTTAAGTTTAGGTATGGGGTAGAATTAAGAGATCTAAAACATGGTCACACAGAATAAGGCAATAATATGAGCTTTATAAGTACTAATATACAGCCAATATGCCAGTAATATGCATGATAATAAGCAACTAGTTAATAGTGAGAACTGGACCTTAAAGTAAAGTGTTACAGAAAATTCTGTCATTATTTACTATCCCTGATGTCATTTCAAACTTGTACGATTTTCATTCTTTCTAGAGTAGTTTAGGTATGATATTATTCTCTACTTACAGTTTAAAATACAAGAACTCTAAGGACAAAGGCTTCATGTGGGGAACAGAGTGAAACGTTGTTATATAAAGAATATCTGTCCACTTTAATGCAGGTCTCAAATTTCTTTCACGAATACATGCAAATGATTAAAGTATGGTGGATATGGTGCATTACCGTATTACATCATTGCTGTCAATGTTACAAATGCAATTGGTTTTCATGTCTCTTATAACCAATTGAGATGCAAAACATTTAAATGTTCTTTCAAAGTTATTGTTTGACTTCATAAAACCTTAAATATAGTTGTATGGGTTACTTTTATAATGCATTTATTGACAGCTCACTGTGTGTTTCATCAAAATATCTTTTGTGTTCCACTGAAGCAAAAGGAACTCATAGTGGTTTGGAATAAATGATGCCAGGCATTTCACTTTTGGGTGAATTAACCCTTTAACTGTTGGACACCCACCGGAACTTGTAGTCAGAATATCTCATTTGGTGCGCCCTCAGTTTGGACACGAGGATCTTGATGATGTGTATGAAGATGAAAAAGTTAATCTGGACAGAGAAAAAAAAATCATAATGCCCTGGTTAAGACCATTATGCCACAAAACTGACTCAACAGTTTCCTCACAGCACAACAAATGACTCAAAATGAGGGACTGGGGCAGCGAGGAGTGTAGGGGGAAGGAAGTCAGCGATGCTTGGCGGAGTCTGAGAATGGCATTATTATTAGTCCAGTGCTCCAGCCTTGGGAGAATTCAAACATAGGAATTCCTGCCCACTACAGGAACACTTGAGACGCTGACAGATATGCAGAAACATCGTTGCACATTGCAAAATGCTCATCTGCACCTCGTAGCCAATGTGAGCATTATGGATGCATGGCAATTTTGCACAGTATTGCGCCTTTCAATGCAATCATGTGGAAATAAGACACTGGAGGAGGGGGAAAGTAATTCTTTGAAATCATAGCTGTAGACCCTAAAACATATTCTGTGTAGTAGCTTCCTGATGTACTGAGAGTCGACATCATATGGCGCTGTGCTTCGTGCATAATGGAAATTACTTCAATTTTGAATGTTGTGTTTAATGCTAAGCCAAATGCAATGCAATTGGGTGTGATGGTGTGAGCATAGATGGAACTGCAGTGCATAAAACAGCATAACACATTTAACCTTACTGTGTTCTTCACACTCCTTCGATTATGTCAGAAAATATAGTCAAGCCTGGGTCACAGTAATATCAGTATCATCAAAATTCTTACTATGTGTGTGGTGTGGGTGTAAAGATCGGGCAAAATAGGCAGAATTGGCCTTTTTTCATTTCATGAATATGAATTTTAATTGAAATGGCCACAGGTTGTTGAATTGGAATGGCAGAACAGAAAATGTCATTACTGAATTTCATTAGTTTTGTAATTATATTCCTTTTAATGTAGACTAATCATGCCAATTTATTCTCTGACACAGAATTTTTGAAAACACACTACAATAAGGTTTAATTTGTTAGCATTAGTTAAGTTAACATGAACTAGCAATGAAACATACTTCTAAAGCATTTATTAACAATATGTATTGTTCATTTCAACATTTACTAACACATTAAAAGCAAAATTTGCTTCTGTTTATTTCTGAGCTCTTTCCTTTTCAAACATGGGTTGCTGAAGCTGTGGAGACATATGAAGGATGAGTCTGCATTAGAGTTTACTATAATCTGATTCATTTCTAAGTAAAACGGAATATTCAATGACAAAACAATATATATGATGGCCTTGTTTGATGGTGAAGTGATTGATTGATTGGGAATTGTGATATCAGCACATAACATACTGTATATGGAGCTGTTGTGTTTACGGGTCCTGAACTCATTCCCACTCTTTCCTTCGCTTTACTGTCCAAATCACCAGTATCCTAGATAATAAAGGCTAAAAAGCAATTTTGAATTCATGTTGACTTCAAGGGTGGAGGTAAAGTGGCATTACAGGAGGTAACGTGTCATTAGCAGTGCTCTGAATATGGGACACTTGGGCAGATAAGTACAGCTGAGAGAGGCTGATGAGGGATCGAGGCTCTCACTCACCAATACGGCCAGCAGGATTGGCGAACGAATAATCCACCAATACTCCATGTTAATATTCTGCACCCAGCATCTGATCAACAACAAGAGATCAAATACATCACTGTAAATGAGCAAATATATGGCCTACTTATGTTCATTAAATATATTCAATACAGACAAAATGTAGTTCAATCATGACAACTCTCAGAAGATTTTAGCATGGTGATGGATATGACAATGTTAATGTATTTGGTTTTGGTGGAACAGATCTGCTATGCTGCTGCTGAATTGAATAACCAGTAGCAGATCTATACAGGTGGAGCTGGGGAAGGTGGAGGGTTTCAGAGAAACTCTGAGAGCGCGCTGCAGGAATCTCAAGTGAATGCTAGCCAGCTATATAAATGCAAGGCAGTAAGCTCATTGGCTGCTTATGCAGCATGAACCAATCAGCCTGTGCCAAGTCGTTTTACTCTTTGAATATCATTGGTTACGTTAACAACCAGTCGCCTGCGCCATCTAGAGTTTCATGACTGAACTATATATTTAAACAAAGATTACTGAAGCAACGTAAGTTTACTTGATTATTCATAGTTTTTTTTAAATACATGTTAAATGTGAGTATCAAATATGATATAACAGGCTTTCGAGGGACATTTATTTGCGTGCCTCTCAGTCATCATTGTATTGCATTGCATTATTATTTTTATTTTTTTATTTATTTTTTGTTGCCTATAACAATAAAAAATTCAGAGCTTTGTTAATAAAACGAAACATTTAAATATCATCCTACTAGACATATTAATCTATGTGAGATATAGTGTGACAACTGATTTTTTTGCAAGTAGTCTCTTATAAAGAACTCATTGATTTACATTACAAGCTATCAGAATTTCATCTTACTTTTTTGACCATATAAATATCAGCAACTGCAGCAAAATAATGTTGAATTAATAATATGAATAATGTTCAGAAAGAAATACTAGCTTACGTTTTTACTGAATACTCTACATACACTGTGTATATAGTGCTATGCTAATTTGTTGTCACATGACTTCATAATGCATATTTGTTTTAATTCAGTAGCCTACATCATTAAGAACATCCAGCCATCATCTTAATGTAAGTACAGTTACATGTTTTTTTAACTCCAATTTTGTATATAAAATGTCTTTTGGCAGTTCGATTAAATAATGCATAAAGAACTAGATGTTAAAAAGTGTGGCTGATATTACTTCCGGTTCATTCATCAAGTGCATTGCAGTGTGTTATTTTGTTGCATACTGCACATTTTGCATTTTGACAAATATAGTAGTATTTCAATGCATACAGAGAACCTGCGCACTGAAAATTCTGCATTATATCAGAATTTAGAGTCATATCCAATCATATCAGCACTTGGTATTCCCATCCAAGATGGCAGCTCGTTAGTTTGCTAGTGTTAGTACTTGTCTCTGTTTATTTTGATTCTCGTGTTTTAAGTGGACTATTGACACCATAAATGTGGTGTTGAATTTAAAGAAGAAAAAAGAAAATAATCTTCTTTTATTTGAAACGATCCAGCTGTCAACGCCGTGTTTATTTAGTGAGATGTGGCCAGCTTGTGCTCCACAGGGGATTCAGCGTGTTGCTTCCGCAGACGGGTGTGTCTCAAGTCATCTCAGCTTTGCGTGATTGTGTGCTGCCTTTTGGGCCTGAGTCCTGGAGTTGTAAGCCCACTAAGTTCTGCTTGATTGGGATTTGGATTCATATCTGACTGCTTCTGTTGCAAAGTTCACGTTTGCATTTCACGTTTGCGTCATCGCGCAAAGACATCAGTCTTCACGTTTGCGGCATCGCACAAAGCCATCAGTCTACAAGTTGTCCGGCTTAAGCCATTTTTTGTTTTGTGTGTGTGGCTGTGTGCTACCATCTAAGCCTGAATCTTGGAGTTCTGGGCCCGCGTGGCTTTGTTTGATCGGGATTTGGATTTAAATATAACTGTTTTTGAAGCATTGTCTACAAGTCGTCCGGATCAAGTCATCTCATCTGTGCGTGACTGTGTGCTGCCGTCTCAGCCTGAATTCTGGAGTTTTAAGATCACAAAGCTTTGTTTGATCGGGATTTGGATTTAAATCTGACTGTTTTTGTTGAATTGCTCACGCTTATTACATTGCGCAAAGGCATCAGTCTACAAGTCTGCATTTTGGGTCTACATTGGCTGTGTGGCGGGGATCTTCATCAAGAGCACAAGAGACTGGAACGTGTCTGCCTTTGTTTTACGGGCTTATTTGGAGTTTTGTGGCTGTCAACTTGCTTGTGTACAGTATGAGGTGTTTAACCACTGGAAGCATGTTCTTTTAAAGTTTGTTTTGGACATTTTGTCAAGTATATACAAGTGGCAGCGGGTTTGCTTCAGGTCCATTTTTATCGTATAATTCATCATTGGTATATTTTGATAGTTGGACATATTATGGAGTATCTACTAACTCTGTCATTTTTGAACAACACTATGGGATGTTGTACCCCATGAATTTTATGTATTTTGATTTTTTGAGATGCGCTTTATCTAGGGAGGTAAATTATTGTACGCTTAATATATTTTTTTGTTTGGGGCCGATGACTAGAATTAGAGTGAGTAATTCAGTTAAACGAAGGAGTTTAATAGTAATAATGTTATTAATGTCTGGGAATGTATCTCCAAACCCAGGACCTCATGTTGCTTCAAACTTTACTACCCCAGTCGAGTTGAGATCAAGGTCTGGATTGGGTTTTATACATTTAAATGTTCGTAGTCTGTTGCCTAAGTTGGATATGGTGTATATTTGGGCTGAAAATACAAATGCGGATGTTATAGTCATATCTGAATCCTGGATTAATAAATCTATCACAGACAACGAGATTAGTATTACTGGTTATAAGGTTTTTAGAGCAGATAGGTTAAAAAGGGGTGGGGGGGGGTGCAATTTATGTCAAAGAACATCTTGAGGCATCATTAATACTTTCAGTGTCAATAGCTAAACAGTATGAACTCTTAGCTTTAAATATTTCTGTCTAAGACCCTTCAGCTCACTTTAGCTGGTTGTTACAGACCTCCTTCAGCTTCTAGCTGTGTTTTACATTCTATGATGCATTCATTGGCCTCTTTGAATTACAAGGAACTGATCTTAATGGGTGATTTTAATCTTAATTGGACGCACTCAATATCTGATGATTTTAAATTGTTTTGTGATAGTCATAATCTTTTTCAATTGGTAAATACACCCACTAGGCCTAATTTGAAATTCCCAGAAAAATCTACATTAATAGATCTTGTCTTTACAAATGCTCCGCATAAATATTCTTCAGTTTCTATAGCGATTAGAAAGTCTAAATCCGATTACTTTCTTGATAAAACTACAGAAAATCTGACACATCCTAGGAAGCTGTGGAATAATATTAAAGTCCTAACTGGTAACAAAACATTTACAGAGCTTCCCTCTTGTATATTGACAGACTCTACTAAAATTACACATAAAAAGCAAATGCTTAATAGTTTTAACAGTCACTTTATTGTATCAGGGTCTTTATTTCCAATAAGTAATGATATGATTTCTGATTTAGAATTTCTTGAAGCTGAACGTAACTTATGGACAAGAGAGTCTGTTTTCCAACAAATTCCTCTCTCTGATGTTTGTTCTGCTTTAAAAGAATTAAATGTGAATAAATCGCCAGGTCCTGATCATATTGCTCCGCTGTTTTTAAAACTAGCGGCTGATTTTATTTCTCCTCCGTTGACATATCTTTTTAATCTCTCATTACTAACTAATACAATTCCTAAGATCTGGAAATCAGCATTTGTTGTTCCTCTGTCAAAAGGGGGTGATCTTTCTTCAATGGATAATTATAGACCTATATCTAAGCTCTGTATTCTCTCAACACTTTTGGAAAATCTAGTTAGTAAACAGTTGACAGTATTTAAATGGTCATAACATTTTGTCTAATAATCAGTCTGGTTTCCGTAAAAAGGACATAACTACTACAGCCACCTTAAAAGTTTTAAATGATATCGTGGAGTCATTAGATAATAAACAACATTGTGCATGTCTTTTTATTGACTTATCAAAGGCCTTCGATACTGTGGATCACAACATATTATTAGATAGGCTTAGATGGGTAGGACTATCAGAACATTTTATTTTATGATTCACTGCTTATTTAAAGGGTAGAACCCAATGTGTCCAGGTGGAAGGTGTTCAGTCAGATCTTATAGAGGTTGTCAAGGGAGTTCCACAAGGATCTGTGTTGGAACCATTATTATTCAGTATATATATATAAATTGCCTTGATTTTAATATTGATAAAGCAAGGTTCTATTTTTACGAAGATGATACTATTGTATACTGTTCAGCTCCCTCTAAGCAACAATCTGTGGCTGCATTACAGTCTGTTTTTGATATTATCCAAAACAGGTTTCATGCTTTGAAGTTGGTTTTAAATGTTGAAAAAACTAAATGTATGCTATTTTCAAATTCTAGAACTTCTTTAGAGAACTCTGTTGTCCTTCAAACTTCTCAGGGGAGCCAAATTACCTCAGTGTCAGAGTACAAATATCTGGGTATTATCATTGATAACAAATTACGTTTTGGTTCACATATTAAGTATCTGAGTAAAAAATTAAAGAAGAAGTTAGGGTTTTTCTTTAGAAATAAGTCATGTTTCCCATTTAAGGTGAGGAAAAAACTAGTGTCCGCTACATTTCTACCGATTCTCGACTATGGGGATGTGGTTTACCAGCATGCCCCCTCTTACCTTCTTTCTTCCTTGGATGTTTTGTACCATGGTGCTCTGAGATTTATTACTGATTGTAAATGTTTAACTCATCATTGTGAATTATATGAAAGAGTTGCATGGCCTTCCTTGAGAATACAGAGAAAAATTCACTGGCATTTGTTGATATATAAGACAATTTTGGGTCATTTGCCAAAGTATCTCTGTTGTTTTATACAAAGGACTTTAATTGGAAATCATTCATTGCGTTCTCAATCAATTTACAATCTCTGTATACCTTTTGTCAGAACTGAGCTTGGTAAAACCTCTTTTAAATATGCTGCAGCTTCAGATTGGAATCTTCTTC